GTACTGGAGATTTTGGCCAGAGAACTTCAGCAGGAAAAAGAAATAAAAGGAATCCAAATAGGCAAAGAAGAATTAAAGCTCTCACTGTTTGCAGACGACATGATCTCTTATATAGAAAACCCCAAAGAATCCATAGGAAAACTATTAGAAAAAATCAACAGCTACAGCAAAGTTGCAGTGTATAAAATCAACATACATAAATCAGTAACATTTCTATATGCTAACAATGAACTAAAAGAAAAAGATCTCAAGAACTTAATCCCATTCACAATCACAACAAAAAGAATAAAATCCCTTGGGATAAATTTAACCAAGGAAATGAAAGATCTATACAATGAAAACTACAAGACTTTCTTGAAAGAAATCGATGACGACATAAAGAGATGGAAAGACATTCCATGCACATGGATTGGAAGAATAAACATAGTTAAAATGTCCATACTACCTAAAGCAATCTACAGATTCAATGCTATCCCAATCAGAATTCCAATGAAATTCTTTACAGAAATTGAACAAAGAATCCTAAAATTCATATGGGGCAACAAAAGACCCCAAATTGCTAAAGCAATCCTGAGAAAGAACAAAGCTGGAGGCATCACAATCCCTGACTTCAAAACATACTACAAAGCTACAGTAATCAAAACAGCATGGTACTGGTACAACAACAGATGCCCAGATCAATGGAACAGAATTGAAAGACCAGAAATAAAACCACATGTCTATGGACAGCTAAACTTCGAAAAAGGAGCTGAGGGCCTACAATGGAGAAAAGAATGTCTCTTCAACAAATGGTGCTGGGAAAACTTGACAGCCACATGTAAAAGAATGAAAATTGGCCATTTTTTGTCACCATTCACTAAAATAAACTCAAAATGGATCAAAGACCTAAAGATTAGGCCTGAAACAATAAGTCTTCTAGAAGAGAATCTCGGCAGTACACTCTTTGACATCAGCTTCAAAAGAATCTTTTCAGACACCATAACCCCTCAGACAAGGGAAACAATAGAAAGAATAAACAAATGGGACTTCATCGGACTAAAGAGCTTCTTCAAGGTAAGGGAAAACAGGATTGAAACAAGAAAACAACCCACTAATTGGGAAAAAAATATTTATAAGTTATTTATCCGACAAAGGGTTAATCTCCATAATATATAAAGAACACACACAGCTCAACAACAAAAAATCAAACAACCCAATCACAAAATGGGCAGGGGACATAAACAGACATTTCTCCAAAGAAGATATATGGATGGCCAATAGACACATGAAAAGATGCTCATCATCACTAATCATCAGGGAAATGCAAATCAAAACTACACTAAGATATCACCTTACACCTCTTCGAATGGCAAAAATATCCAAAACCAAGAGTGACAAATGTTGGAGAGGCTATGGAGAAAAAGAAACCCTCATACACTGTTGGTGGGAATGCAAACTGGTGTAGCCACTATGGAAAACAGTATGGAGATTTCTCAAAAAGTTAAAAACAGAAATACCTTATGACCCTTCCATCCCACTACTGGGTATCTATCCTAAGAACCTGAAATCAGCAATTCCAAAAATCCCATGCACCCCTATGTTCATCGCAGCATTATTCACAATAGCCAAGTCATGGAACCAACCTAAGTGCCCAGCCTAACTGATGATTGGATAAAGAAGCTATGGTATATATATACAATGGAATACTTCTCAGCCATAAAAAAAGGACAAATTCGTCCCATTCACAACAACATGGATAGATATTGATGGTATTATGTTGAGTGAAATAAGCCAGACAGAGAAAGACAAACTCTGTATGACTCCACTCATAGGTGGTAGTTAACATATACACAAAGAGAACTGATCAGTGGTTACCAGGTGAAAGGGAGGGTGAAGGAGGGCACTAAGGGTGAAGTGGTGTACCTATAACATGAGTAATAATAATGTACAACTGTAATTTCACAAGGTTGTTAACTATCATAATCTTAATTAAAAAAAACAGATTTGTATGTAGGGATGCAGTGGGTAGGAGAGGCCAGAAAATTAATACAGCCAAACACAAGGTAAACAAGACTCTCTGAAGACTGAGAAGGAAGCAGGAGAACTAAGAAGCAGTCTCTTATCACTCCAAGGACAAAGTTTGCAACAAGCTTAGTAATATCTAAGCACTTGTCACTTGGTGATTCTATTGAGTAAATTCTCTTAAATTATTGTTTTTATTATATTTTACTGAATTAAAGAATTCCTCCATCACTTACTTGACATTTTCTTAACTTTATAGCATTTTAGTTAACTGTATCCTCTAGGGAGATATATGAGTCATGGGAAAATGTGAAATCCCTTAAGAAATAGAGTGTTTCCAAAGGTTTCATTTGTTGCTGTATAACATTTAAGCTGTGACAGAGTTCATTAGAGGCTGATCTAAATGTGTATATATATATATATATATATATGTATATAGCTGTCCCTTCTATCTATATTTGTCCTCTTAGAGGAACAAAAAATTAAATGTGTTAAAACTTTATTCGTTAGTTTGTTATTCTGATTTTTGTGTGTTAATAATTAAGATTTACTTTCAATAATTTTGCCTGGAGTTATCTCCAGCTACATACTATTCAAATATTTAATAATGCTGCATATAGTATAATTATTAACTGAATTTTTTTTGAGTAAAGGGTAAGAAACTATGGAAAAGGACAGGAAGTTTCTAAAGCTGAAATTTTAAAATATTTTTTGGTAAGTTAAATTTATGCTGTTAAAATTGATTTTCCCCTTTTATTTGATTTTCCTCATATTTAGTACATTAGTCAGAAAGTTTGTTTTAAACCTGATAGAATCATATGACTGGTATGAATACTAGAGGTTATTTACTCTAACTCCATATCTTATCATTCATTTCTGTTTACAACATCACCTTAAATTTTGCAGAGAATGGGCATCCTCGAATAAATGATATAATTGAATTTCTAAATTTCATTTGGAAATTCCATTTGCTTAATTATGCTTGCAATCAAACTACTTAAAATAGATAATCCTTCCTTAAGAAATTGCTATTCAGTTGGTATTCTAAAGAGATAAGTCAGAGAGTTAGATGAGAGCTCTTATTAATACAACTTTCTGCAGTGACGGAAATGATCGGTAACCTGTGCTGTTCAATATAGTGGCTACTAGTCACATACGGTTAACGAACAACTGCATTGGGACTAGTTCAAAAAGTAAAATTTAATTTGATTTAATTTCATTTAGTTTTAATTTCTATTTAAATATTCACATGAAGTTACTAGCTACAGCATTGGACAGTTTAGATGTGACGAACTGATGTAATAATCAATTTTGAAATGCAATGCCTTCACATTATTTGTTGAAAGAACTTATGCATTTTGGTAGATATTTTGGTAGTTTTTAAGCTGCATATGAGAAATTGTGAAAATGTATATGCTAATAATTTATCAAAGAAAGTTCTAAGCCATCCATCTGTATTTTCATTTAATTATCAGTTTAAATAAAATTAACCAGAGATTTAAAATAGAGGAAAAGTAATTGACTAAAGTAATTTCTTTCATGATGTATACTCACATATGCCCTCCCTAAAAATACTCATGTATGAATTATCAATATATTGCTTATCTACCTACTTATATACCTACCTATCTATCTTACTATCTATATTTGAGTAGTTATATACCCAAAGTGACAATTGCTATTTTACTTGCAATATCTCCTATTTTCTTTCCATGGATCACGTGATATAGGTGTAATTATACACATGCCGAAAGAAGATGAGAGAATTTCCCAAAGTCACTAAGTCAATAAGTGACAGCAACATATTTTAATCCCAGGTTGGGCTAATGCCAAACACTTCCCTTTTGTGGCAACTGAAATATATTAATTAAAATTATTTTATAGAATTATCATAGGCCAAAGTTTATCATTGTTTGTATTTCTTTATTTTTAAAAATGTGATCTATTAACTAAACATAGAATATGGGAGAAAGAGTTCTATTATGGACATATTAATTCTTCTAGAAATACAATACAATTGAATAAAGAGTATAAATAAGTGAACTACATAATGGAAACTGGATTTAAAAAACCATAATGGTCATATATAGTTATCATTATAGGAAGGATATGAATAAGTATTCCAGATCAATAGGTGGTTGTAATTATCCACATTTAAAAGTTTGTGTTTTCTATATATGTGTGTGAGTGTATATAGACATATAATTATCTTTATATTTATATATACATGTACAGAGCAAATAAATGAATATGTTAAATATTATACATTACCTGTGTAGGCATTTATATAACAGCAAATTTATAGCCAAAAATAAATATTTAATTTATTTATTCAGGGCCTCAGATAGCTTATGAAACCTCTAACTTCTCCATTTAAGCAAAACATAGTTTTCTATGCTCTGAGTCTTAGGGCTGAGTGATTCCACTGAGGGCTCCTTACATATTGCTGGTAAAGAGTTGTCATTAGAGAACAGAGATTTATGCACTTTGAAGAGTATCATGCCATCATCTCTGGATGTCAGCCCCACTGACCCATAATCTTTGCCAATTCTCTTGTTATATCATAGTGCTTTTGTGATTTAACTACATAGTTTACAGTACAGTTGATTTTAGACCTCTTGTGATTTACTTCTTTTATTTCCAAAATTAAGAGTTCAAAAAAGGACTTAAATTTAATTTTGAAAATGTCTTTCACTCACCATCATTATCCCCCTGGCCAGTATTGTCTTCATACAGAGATAGGCATTTTAGAGACAGACCAAAATTTTTGAGAACCAGAATGATTTTTCACATATTTCCTTATGGGACAGAATCATAACTAGCACTAAAAAAACAGAGACAATCAAGTCAAGCTCCTACCATGCATGATCAATGAGGAAACTTTGGTTCAGCAAAATAACATATTTATCCAAGGACATGTGTATAAGTGTTTCTATTTGCTTTTTTAAATACTGGATTCTCCTGTGTCCATTGTAATTTCTTTATTTTTATCACTTTAGATTTCGAGATAAAGAATTAACAAATGGCTGAAGAGAATTTGACGGCTGTTACTGAATTTATTCTCTTGGGACTGACGGACATTGCAGAACTGAAAGTTATGCTTTTTGTGTTATTCCTAGTGATATATGCCGTTACCTTGGTGGGGAATCTGGGCATGATCTTCTTAATCCAAATCACTCCCAAACTCCACACACCCATGTACTTTTTCCTCAGCTGCCTTTCATTTGTAGATGCCTGCTATTCATCAGTTATTGCGCCAAAAATGCTGATCAACTTCTTGGTTGTGAGTGAAACCATATCATTCTCTGCCTGCATAGTGCAGCATTTGTTTTTGGGTGTGTTCATCACCACGGAAGGCTTCTTGCTCTCAGTGATGGCATATGATCGTTATGTGGCCATTGTCAACCCTTTGCTTTACACTGCAGCCATGTCTAAGAGGAAGTGTGTAGGGCTAGTCATTGGGTCATTCATAGGTGGAATGACTAACTCATTGACACACACGATAAGCGTAGGGAGACTGTCCTTCTGTGAGTCTAATGTTGTCAGCCACTTCTTCTGTGATGTTCTCCCACTGCTAAAGCTGTCATGTTCTGACACTTCCATGAATGAATTGTTGCTCTTAACCTTCTCTGGAGTCATTGCCTAGGGTGGTTATATACCCTCAAAGAGTGTATTTCACATATGATTGAAATGTCCCTTTTACAATAGTCATGAGGCTGCTCTGTCAGCACAGCGATTGATGGAAATAGCAGATAGGTCTGCTGTCTCAGTGAATGCCGCAGGGTGGAAGGTCTGTTGCCTTGAGCTGGGCAGTCACAAATGAGCACTGCAATCAGTTCCCAGCCTAAAGAAAGATGCTAATCTTTAAGGAGATGCCAATGTTGGGAGGGGGAGGGAAGTTGCACCTTTATCTCAAAATGTCTAAGCAGATAGACAATGCATGCTCAATGGCCACAGTCAGGCCCTTGTGGAAAAACAAAGTCAGGCCGAATTAGGTTTATACCAAATGGCTTCCTCATGTACTCCAATATATCCTGTTGCTTGCCATTTCTATTTGTCAATACGAAAAAGCAGCCAGAAAGGCAAAGTGGTTTAATTCATACAGCTGCATCACAAAAATGATAATCTATTGCATCGGCCTTCTGATAATCTAGCTTATGAATCTCTGAATCAATACAAAATACAGTACTACATTTATATTTTTTGTTATTTATAGGAAACATTTATAATAATCCCTGAATTTAAGGACATAAAAACATAGTACTTATTAACAAAAAAATAATTGATTCTCAAGTTTCCAAGAACATGGATATAATTTTATAGCTGAAATTTGCATTCATTGACATATTTTAACTAGAGAGTGGTTGTGATATTGCGATTTGTAATAGGAAATATATATTTAGTCTTTGTCCAGCTAATGTCACAGAGCTCCTAAAACCCTTGGAATTTCCTGAGTGATGAGGGTCATAAAGGTACCTTTTTTACGTTAATTAAGTGATTTTGCAGAACACCTAAGGATGGGGGCTAGTTACCAGGGGAAGCAACCATGAATAGATGTTTGGGACTTTCATTTCCACACCCTGATTTCCAGGGAGGAGAGTGGGGCTGGAGGTTGAATGAATCATCAATGGCCAATGGTTTCATCCATCTTGCCTATGTAATAAAGCCTCCTAAGAACCCAAAAGACATGAGTTCAGAGAGATCCAGTATGTTGAACCAGGACGCTTCCACGTGCCCCTGTGCCAGGCCCAACTCAATGAGAACAGAAGCTTCTTTGTTCCCCTATCTGGTTCTATGTATGTTTCCATCTTGCTGTTGATTTGCATCATTTGATATCCTTTGTAATGAACTGGTAATCTAGTGAGTAACCTGGTTTCCTGAGTTCTGTGAGTTGCTCTAGCAAAGGAGGGAGGTCAGGGAAACCTTTGATTTATGCTCACCAGGTCAGAGGCATAAGTAACAAGCTGGACTTGTGATTAGCATCTGAAATGCAGGGCAGTCTTGTGGGACTGAGCCCTCAGTCTATGGAATCTGATGCTAACTTTGTAGATGTTGTCAGAATTGAGTCGAACTGTAGAACTCCTAGCTATTGTAAGAGAATTTCTTGCCACTAATCTCAGCAGAATCAGGCTCACCATTCCCTGCTGCCTGGATTGCAGCATAAAGAGAACAACAATGGAGGCTGAAAGGAAAGTATGAAAGACTTCTCAGGCTGCCGAGACCTATCTGAGCGATTTCAGAAGTGCTCATTTCTGACCACCAGTATGTGATGTTCTGGCTGCAAATTGCATAAAGCCTTTAATTGTGAAAAAAAATGTTGGAACCTCCCGCACACTTTGAAATTTGGGGGGCAGAATCATTAGTGCTAGACCCCCATGCAAATATAATGAGAGCTGTCCACCTCAGCTCTTCCAAAAACGTGCTATTTGATTAAAGTTTCTTTTTTTCTAGGTCTTAATCTCTGAAAAGGGAGGGTGGCTCTCCCTTTGATTACTTTTGAGATTATAACAGAAGCCTTAAGATTGAAACTTCAGATTTTAAAATTTCACCTACAAATGTAGGATGAGTTAAAGAGTAATTTGGAGTACTTAAAATTCAAAAACAATTTCTCCTCTCCTTTTAAGCATCTTCTTCCTCTTTACATATGATGTTTAAAAAATTACCAAGCAGGTATTTCACATTATGGAAACATCATTTACAGAAATGCCATTGAATACACTTATAATTAGACTACATAAGCTGACACCCACTTACTGACTTAGTTCTGTAAGTATTCACTCTATGATTATATAGTTTTTCTTCATTTAATAATGTCAACATTTACCATGAACAAACAAAAAGAAATGTGAAGAAATATATTTGCATTAAAATTAGATGGAATTAAATACATTTTCTGTATTTTTTAGCTCCATTACTGTCAAGATTAGTAGTGGCAGTCTGGAATTCTTAAAGCCCATGAGACAGTTGAAGAAATATTCAAATAAGTTTATTGTTGATAGCTCATAGTTGTTAGGTCAAGCACATTGAGCCTGCTAACAATCTCTCTACATAAAAAAGAGAAAAGAGTTTTAAGTATTCCTATAATATAAAATATAATTGTAAAATGATTGTTTTTACAAATAGATTTTGGAGTGTATATGAGATGGATATGTTAGCAAGTCCTTCCTTCCTGAGGGCTTCTTGTACACATTTTGATTCATCAGTTCAACATTCAAATATCAATAATGTAATTCATCATGTTGTCAGAATATGGAAGAAAGAAATATATGAATTTCTCAATTGATACAGAAAAGGATTTGATGAAATTCAGTATCCAAATATGGTATAAAATAAGATTAAACCCTCAGTAATCTGAAAGCAGAAAGGAGCTTCCTAAAAAATGATAAAGAACATATACTATAAAACTTATAGTTTTATTATAGACAAATGAGAAGATGAATGTTTTCATACTAAATTTGGAAAAAGGCAAAGCTGTTTTCTCTCACTACAACTATTATAGAACGTAAAGGAGATCCCAGCCTTTGCATTAAGATGAAGTAAATAAATAAAAAGACATATAGATTTGACACAAATAAATGAAATTCTCTCTATTTGTAGATGACAAGATTGTTTATGTATAAATTGAATCTGCAAAAGTTATTAGAACTAACAATTGTATATAGCAAGGTCACAGTATGCAAGACCAACATACAGAATTCCATTGTATTTCTGTATATAAGCAATAAACAACTGGAATTTTAGATAAATGTATAACTTATAACTATAAAGACAAAAAACATGAAATGTTTATAAATCTAACAAAATATGCACAAGATCAACACATTCAACACTGCAAAACACTGATGTAATAAATCAAATCTATGTAAATGTAGAACTATATTTTGCTCATGGATTGGAAAACACAATATTGTTAAGATGTGAAGCATCTAATAATTGAATTGGAGAAATCAACAAGCTGTTTCTAAAATGTAAACAGAAGGGTAAAGAAATTAGAATAGGCTAAAGAATCTGAAAAAAATAAGAAGAAAGTTAGACGACTCACATTCTCCCTTTATTTTTTTTCTTGTTGTATGTGAATAACACGCTTAGAGTAAGGCAAACTCACAGCTAATTATTCAAAACATAACAACATAGTAAAACTAAATAGTCCCAGGAACAGAAATAGATTCCAAGACATCCAAAGAGATTGAGCAAATTGATGTTTTGTTACCTGAGGGTTAAATTTTACATACAAGTTTCTCTACCTGACATCATAATGTGAGGTTATCAGAGCATAATGAGATTTTGTCAGTATCAAAATCTGAAGTGTTTTATTCTGCATGCATATTGCCATTACACATTATCAATAATATTATAATTATTATTGTCATTATTATGGTTGGAAATAATTTTACAAAGTCCTCAGCAGCTCAGGCTTCCAGTTGTTAGTGTGAAGCACTACCCATCTGCTTCCCACAGGGACATCACTGTTTTTATTCTGAATCTATCTGATTACAAAAAATTATTCTATTGTATATGTGTGAGTTCCTTTTTAATTTGTGACACTTTGGCTGTAAGGGAGCAAGTGATGTCTTGCCAGAGTGTAGGCTGCCCATAGTCTTCCCACATATATACACATATACCCCATTAGCCTAAGTCTGACACTTAAATCAGATTTCATTGCAATCAACATGTTAGCAAGTCCTTCCTTCCTGAGGGCTTGTTGTACACATTTTGATTCATCTGTTTAATAACACTTTCAGGACAATTGTACATTGCCTCATCAACTTTATAAGTCAACTTAAGCATGGCCAGTTTTCCTAGATGAGAGCCTGGATGAGAGAATGCATAAGGCTACCACTATCTGAGCTCTTTTTCAAACTTTAAAAGCTAAGACACTATGGATTTCATTTTTTATCATTCTAAATAAACTCACAATTACGCCGAGATTTTAATCCAAAGGAAAATATTGAACTCAAAATAATCCACACTCTGTGGTCATGGGATATACGTAGCCATTTGACAACGCTATATTGTTACTTTGAAGTTATTCATAGGCTCCTTCCTCTTTTAGTTAACCAACAACCTAATATGTTGATGTCACTGCTCTTTATTTTAAGTAAATATAGTTATTTAAGGAATACTTTAATATTTTGTAAATAATTTAACCATGGATGTGATTGAAGTTTTAAAAGGGAGAATGACATCGGATCAGATTACAGGGGCAAGGACATTTTACGAGTTTTTCCAGAGGACATTGATTTTTGTAAACAATAATCAGGCAAAAGGGTAAAATATGTATAAAGCAATCCAGAAGAAAAAGCTTAAATATATGAGTGTGATTAAAAAATCTATTCTGTAAAGCAAGTGATATTCATGAAAATTAAAAGAAAAAATAAATGGTTTAATATATAAAAATGTGAAACAAAACAACTATGGAGACATCAACAATTTCCAGGTGTGTGCTATTCAAGGAAAAAAAACTTTGACTTTCTGACAATGTGGAATTATAATGATAGCGCTCTCTGCTTATATTTTGCTTTGATACGTCTCTGGCTATGGAAGCAGTGTAGGGCCTGGGCCTAACTTGTTCAGCAGAAACCCGCAGGCCCATTGCAACCATGTGTACTTCTGGCTCCTTTCTGGACAGGCAGCCCAGCTATGAAGATTTGTAAGGATCTGGGCCTGGTCAGCCTGGATCCTCCCTTATCCCACCAGAACATTGCATCTTACAGGACACAAAGCCCCTCCATGTGAGTTACTGTTCCTGGGAATGCTGGTTGTACCAACGACAGCCCTTTGGCAAGCATGCAGCCTTTGTTCCTCTGCCTACTTAAGCAAGCATCTATTAGGGGCCGGGTGTGGGTGCACACTTCCGTCCGGCCACCACTGGACACTCTCCATGTAAGTAAGCCCCAATAAACCTACATGCCTCGCTCACAGTCTCTGGGTCATTTCTTTGGTCTCTCAGCAAGATATCCTGCCACCATAGCCCAGCTGGGCTTGTGGCCTTACACCCAGCCTCATTGTGATTAACTGAATAGTCGTTGATTTAGATGCAAGGCACATTTTTATTAAACACCTCCACCGGGCCGAGCTAGTTATTTTGAGCTGCTCACTTGGTGTTCACAGTGATGCTTTAGTTTCCATATTCAACTGCCATGTATTCCTAGACATGATATATAAAAGGAACTTAAGAAGAAACTGAAAGGTGGAAAGAAGGCAGACTACCAGGGAACCTGGAACCCGAGGAACAACACAGTGGAATCAAGGGGTTAAGCTGTGTATAAGCAACCCTGCAAGAGTCAGAAACCACATTTACTCGTTGGTATTAAATTCTTTATGTCTAGACAAAATTTATGAGAATTTAATGTCTTTGTTAAATATAAAGCCTTGAAAGAAATCTCTGTATTGTTCTATTTACAAATCATTTTTTAATAAGTCCATAATTTTTATAGAATCAACGTTGGCCGTAATAGCCAAGGAATAATTCCATGGAGAGGTGAGTTTTAAAAATGCCAACATTTTCTATGACAGAATAAAACCTGAAATTTTACTTTGTCTCCTATATGGTTGACTGATCTCTATTACTCTGAGTTATAAACCAATATATTGATACATGAATTATATAGACACATCTGATCACATAATTTGTTATTATTTCATGTATTATGTCATGCAAGTTTGTTGGGATTTAAAGAATATTATACAGAATATGTTAATACTTATCATCAAGGAACTAATAAAGGTAATATTGACTATAAATACAATAATATATATTGTATTTAATACATATATTGCATTTAATAATACTGTATTTAATATATATCGTATTTAATAACATAATAAATACTATACTTCTGCTCAAATATAAGAAATATCATATCTCCTTCGGAAGGGCATGCCCCCGATAGTTCCAGGGTATGCCACACACATATACTCAGTATTAGAATAGAACTCCTCCTGTTATATGATTCTGAGACCTTTCCATCTCATAGCATTCTCATTCAGCTCTCCAGTGATTACTTTTTCTCTAGGGAATCCTGAGATATATGTGAAACCAATTTGTCATCTCCTGTATGCTCCTTTCCCAGTGGTATGTTTCTCCAATTATAAAACCATATGCATGTGCAATTTGACACTTGGGAGTATTAGGATTATTGTGGGTCTTTTTCAAAGAATCAGATTATTTCTTATTCTAAAGATAATAACATTCAACTCTCATCTTCAAACTTTTCAATTAATATTCTTTTTCTTTCATGTTTTCAGGATCTCTTTCAGTGACAAACTGTGTAGGTTGATTAGCGAACTTTCTTTTCAGGATGTTGATAGATATTCTTGAGATGTATGGTGGTCCTTTTATCTGTCTAATCACTGTGGTGGGCAGCCCTTGGACGTTTACATGAATCAAAGGGATGCTTAATATATTGTACATCTTTGGGGAGGTTTTTTCAAATCTTAGTCCATATGAATGGCACATCCTAAAATAACATGATGCCTAACTTTCACAACTGCATGCGGCATTAATCTTTTCCCTACTGTATCACTTAGGAATGCTTTTCCCATTTAATGTGTCACTCAACAAATACTGGTTCAAGGAAGAGGACAATTAAAAATAAATGATCACCTGTTGGGCCTCATGTCTTTCACTGTTTCAGTAACTCAACAATATTGGAATCAATATATTCTCTTGTCCTCAAATTAATTTCTAAAATGGCTGAAGCTCATATAAAAAGTTCCTTCAAATTCTGAGAAGCAGAAAGTGATGGAGAATGAATATTCCTTACACAGACCTGTCTTTTTTGGGAAAGAACATTTATATCTTATATTGTCCCTGGTAGAATTTTTCCTACAAATCATTAGCAATTGATATTTGAATTTTTTGTAATTCTGATTCTTCTCAATTTTCATTTCTTAAAGACAACTGAACTTCTTAGAACAGAAATTGTTTCTTAAAATGGGAACCTCGTTGTTTATTTCTTTTTCAGCATATTTCTGATGACCTAATGGCAATTCCTGCCCATTCCCCAATTTATTATAGGTCTACTCAGACTTTGCCTTGCATTCACTTTGTTATGGCTTTTTATTTGAGCAAATAACTCATGCAAAATGGTCTAATTCATTTATATTTCTGTGACTCAATTTATCTATTTTTAATTAATTATATCTTTCTTGAATTCACTTTCTGTGCCAGACATGCACTTCACTGCTTTTGTTTTTTGTTTTTTTTTTTAATCTCTCTCTTGCTTCTCCTCTTCCAATATGTTATCTACCAAAGTGACGTTTTACTCTCTGTCATCTCTGGGATGACATCAGCAAAGCATAAAAAAGGCATAAGAGACAATATAGGGTACTTATTAAGAGCATGAATCCTCAAGCATGAACTAAACCACCTGTCTTTTAAACCTGGCTCTAACACCTAATACGTTTGTGGATTCTAACAATTTACTTACCGTCTCTGAATCATCATTTTATAATGAGAAAAATGGAAATTTTAATTGAACCTGTCTCACACAGACTTTCTGATGACTAAATTCATCAAGACATGAGGAATGTCTGTCATATAGTACTCAAAAGTGTCAGAAATTATTACCTGGTAGTCTTTATGACCATTGCAAATATTCCTTTTAACTGCATCAACATTTTCATAATATTTACCTCCTATGTCACTGTATCATGCACATTTTTTGTACTTTGAAACTTTTTAGAGAAGTTTTAACTTGACAGGAAAATTAAGAACAGATGTTTCCCATAAACTCCATGCCCCTACACTTGCATAGAGTCCCCCATCCCATTATCCATGCCCCCCGCCAGAGTGGCACGTTTGTTACAGCTGATGAACCTTCATTGATGCATCATTCTCAGCAGAACTCCATAGTTGGCATTAGCGTTCACTCCTGGTATTGTACATTCTATGGGTTTGGACAAATATATAATGACTTGTATCCACCATTATAATTTCATACAAAGTAGATTCACTGCTTTAAAAATCCTCTGTACTCCTCCTATTTGTCCTTTCCTCTGCCCCAACTCCTGTCAACCACTGACTTTTTTACCGTCTCCATAATTTTGCCTTTTCTAGAATGTCATAGACTTAGAATCATACAGTATGCAGCCTTTTCATATTGGCTTCCTTCACTTAGACGCATGCATTTAAGGTTCCATTTTATCTTTTCAAAGCTTAATAGCTCATTTCTTTTTAGTGCTAAATAGCATTCCATTTTCTAGATGTACCATGGTTATTTACTCATACACCTACTGAAGAACATCTTGGTTATGCTGTATCATGCACTTCATAAATTTTATTTCAATAAAATATTTTTATTAAATGTCCATTGGCTAAACAGAGAATATTGATTCATCATGGTGAACAGAGCAAATATTGTAGACTAATAGTTTCAGTGAAATCCCAGCAATATTAAGATCAATGAAAGTAAGAAAAAGAGAAATTTAAAAAATGAAAGCAAGCATATGGGGAAATGTGGATAGTGAGTTGGAGCAATAGTTAAGCACTGAAAGTCAATTAAAATACAGTGCGTAGTCAATATTGATGAAAATTGGGAAGCATCAACCTAAGCAGAGAGGCAACATAATTAATTCAACACAGAATAATCCTCTTACCCAAATAAAACAACTGGAACATAATTTTTAAGCATGGATAACTATGTTCTCTCAAAAAGAAAAGGAAATGTTAGAATCTTCTAAACCAAACACCCGATATTAAGCAAGCTAACCACTTTCAAGGGGGAGTACAAACTTGGGAGATTCTGAGTGCCCTGAGCAAACTAATACAATTGAATACTTCAAGTTATCAGATGTCACAGAACAGTCAATATTAAGCATAATTCTAAAGTATAGCAAGGAAGAGTATGAAGGCTAAAACAGAAGGAAAAGACAAGACTTACACATACAGGTGCACACACAAACACACACAGATTCTATAATTTTATTCTTCTAGGTGAGGAAAACACCAGAATCGTTGACAACTATTTTTGTCTGCATCCACTCTGTCTACTGTCTACAGTCTACTGTATTGTAACATCTACTTAACTTATATATTTAATCTCTCTTTTTTTCTCAAAGAAGTCCAATATTTTTACTATCTTGGGCATTAATCTAACTCCAGGAACTACACATGCCTGGAATAGAGAAGAAAAACTATAAATATATGTTGAACTCTTTTGTGCTTGCTGTTTCTTTCGGAGGCACATAGAGGAAACATTAAATCTCATAACCTAATGTACAGAAATCACATTGTGCATTAACTTTAAGCAAAAATATTGCATAGATTTTTCCACATCCTTTTTAGTGAATATTTTACATCTTTGTTCCTCAAGCTATAGATCAAAGGATTCAACATGGGGATAATGAAGGTGTAAAATATGGAAGCGACTATATCAGTGTCAAAGGCATGACTGGATTTGGGCTGCACATACATAAATATCAAAGTTCCATAAAATACTATGACCACAATCAAGTGGGATCCACAGGTAGAAAAAGCCTTGTACCTACCCTCAGCAGAGTTCATCCTGAGAATGGCTACAAGGATGAGTAGGTAGCCATTCACAAGAACTATCTCAAGGGATGAAATTAAATCAAAACCAGCTAAAATCAGAATAATCATTTCAGTTTCATGTGTATTTGAGCAGAGCAAAGATAACAAAGGGAAACAGTCACAGTAGAAGTGATGGATGACGTTGTAGCCACAGAAGTATAAATTAAAAATCTTTACAGTGACCAAAAGAGAAACAAATGTGCTGTAGAGATATGGAATTGCCACCAGCACATGGCATACCCTTTGTGACATGTTAACTGTGTAGAGCAGAAGGTTACAGATGGCCACGTAGCGATCATAGGACATCACTGACAGAATAAAGAATTCACTAATAATGAACATAAGAAAGAAAGCTAGTTGTATAGCACAAAAATAATAAGATATTGTATTTTTATCCTGAACAAAATTTACTAACATTTTGGGTCCTACAGTTGTTGAATAACCAAGATCAGTAAAAGCCAGGTGTCTGAGAAAAAAGTACATGGGTGTTTGTAGCCTGGAGTCCATCTTGGTGAGGATGACCATGCCCAAGTTGCCCACCACTGAGATCACATATATGGTGAGGAAGAGCCCAAATAATGGAGCCTGCACCTCAGGTTTGTCTGTGATCCCCATTAAAATGAATTCATTTAACATTGTTAGATTTTGTGTTTCCATGCAGGTTTCTCTGTAAGGTAAAGAAAAAGAGAAGCTTTTTTTCTCACAACCTTTATCATTTTGTGTAAAAATCATATTGCTTTTTCATAGTAACATCTTTGTTGAATACTAATTGCTATTTTTTTAAAGCTATGCTCTTTGAAATAATTATAGCTGATTTCTGTCAGACCCCACTTGAAAGTGAAGAATCTGCTGAACATTGTACCATTATTATAAAACTGGGTACCTAAATGTCTGTTAATATCCAAATAATAATTCTCACATCTCAGTGTGGGTGAAAATCCACTTTTAACTCATCAAATGATCTGGAAAGAATCATATTTATACATTTATTTAAATTGTCATAAAATATTAAATTATACTGAGAGGGTCACAAAAAAGAGCCTAGAGCCACTAAGTAACTAAAAATGTGAAAGGATATCAAAAGGATATCGGTAACTTTAACTAAGTAACTAAAAATGTGAAAGGATGTCAAAAGGATATCAGAAGACTGAATACGAGCAGCTTCTCAACTTTTCCAGTTTTTAAAAATTCATGCCTCTTTAGTTATGCTTCATTCATTCTAAATTTTGGCCTGTATTAGAGATATAATTAGTCTTATAAAATGAATATTTTATAAGCAATAGCATGATGATATTTCAAAGATGCTTTTGAGCATTTAGTCTGTCAACCTATGTGAAAATACTCAAAAAATTAAAATAAAAAGGAAAGGAGTCCTGTTCTTGCTCAAGCATATGGAGTAGTAGAAGGCAAAGGGAACTGAAGCAGAAATGGTTGCTTTTTGCTAGGGCTTTGCCATTTAATTAAAGTGGAACGTCGCATATGTCGCTGAAACATTGTCACTATTGGTAACTTAAGGCACCACATGAAATATTTTATCTTTTTACCTGTAAAGAAACAGCTGTCTTGGCTCTCTCGTGTGTTTCACTTGTGGCACACTGAGAACAATTTATGGATTTTTTTCACCTTTTGAAACTCTCCCTAAAGAGACATCAAGCAATTTGTTGATTACCCCTAAAGTATTTGAGAGCACAACAAAATGTCTGTAGGTTGTCCTTTAATTGTCAGGAACAATTGTATTCACTGTCTTTTCCTTCTCTCTTTCTTTCAGGTTTTCATTTCTGACTTCCTACTTTCTTTCCGCTATTTCCTTCCTTCCTTCCTTCCTTTCTTCTTAGCTTCCTCTTTTCTACTCTTGGTGAACTTTCCTTTTGTACCACAAATGACTCTTGTTTAAGATATTGTACCTATAGGGCATGATCATCAAGAGTCTGCATTGCCACAGTGGGCTCCCCAAATGAGTCACCCAGTGTAGAAATGTTTAAAAATTGTCCTATTACATTATTTTAAAAGTTTTAGGGAATTAAAATAATACATTATGCAAATATGAGATGTTGCTTCCTTGATTTGTTCCTCATGTTGTTTTTACTCTTGCCTCAGGGACAGAAACTAGTTACTGTTCCTTCTCATTTCACTGTGAGTTTCTATCATCTATTTACCACTTCTCCTTTACTTTTGCTTTTTTCCTTTACTGCATATTGCACCATTTCAGTTATTCCATTCTGTGCAACCCCCACTCCAATATTGATTTATTCCATCACCACAAAGTTCCCTTTGGCTGTCCCTTCACAGCCACACCCTCTTCCTCCTCTTCTGCCACTGTTCCTAAGCCCTCATTATAGTTTTTGTCATTTAAAAAAGTTTTATAAATAATATTATATCATTTGTGATCTTTTGGGATTGGCTTTGTTCAAGCAACATAATTCTCCTGAGATGTGTTTGTGCTTTTACGTGTATAAATCATTTGTTACTTTATTGTTGGTGAGAGGTATTCCATGGTATTTATGATAAAATTTATCACATGAAATTTGTTTATATATGTATATATATTCTTCCTAAAGGAACAGGAACTTTCACACATTGTTGGTAGGAAAGTAAAATGGTATAAATATTTGAAAGCGATTTGATATAAGCACCAGTGTCTTAACATTTAGACATGCGTGTGACATAATATTTAACCATTCCATTCCCATGTATTTACCCAAGAAAAATGACAGCATATTTCCGTATAAGACTTGTATACAAATGTCCATAGTAACAGAAGTTTAGCACATGTCACTCCACAATATGTTGTTCGGACATATTGATTATTTTGAGCTAAAGATAGGAAAAACAAAGGAGCAAGAAGGGAACTCTGAACTTTTTTTCCTAAAAGCAAGAGATAAAACTATCACATCACACATGCTCTCCTTATACCAGGAGAAAAGAAGCATTCCACCAGAGATGGAGACTTGAGGTCAAGAGAAATCTGTGCAAACACGTGGTTAAAATATCTTATATGCTGGGAGTCTCCGCATATACCATATATTTTAGTTACTTTTCTACACTCTCAGTTCAACCTAACATATGAACACTTAGGCTTAGCCACTTCTTTGGGTCTTCATTACTCTTGAGAGGACTCACACATACACACAAAAATTACTAAATAAAATATGCTTGCTTTTGTCCTGTTATCTGTCTTATGTCAGTTTAATTCTTAAGCCTGGCTAGAACCCCTAGTAAGTGTAAAGTAGAAATTTTTCTTTCCCTTCAGCTTTATTGAAGCTTTATTTGTAATGGCCAAAAACCAGAAACAGTCCAAATGTTCATCTACTGGAGAATGGAAAAATAGATTGTAGGATATACAAGCAAATGAATGTCACTAGCAATGGAAAGTAATGAATGATTCGTACACACAAAAATATAGATGCTCTCAAAAGAATTATGCTGAGTGAAGGACGCCAGAATAAAAGGACTAAATAATTTATAATTACATATTCAGAAGACATCTAAAAATGCAAAATCATCTATAGGTACTCAATGGAGATCAAATAGGAATTTCCAGAAAGTGCAAGAAAAGGGCATAAAAATACATGCAGTTGGAAAGGAAGAAATGAAATCTTTCCTATATTCAAATGATATATTGTCTAATAAAAAATTTCCACAAATCTGAAACTAAGTCTAGGAAAAAATATGAGTTCAGCAAAGTGTCATGAAACATGATTAAAAGACATACAGAAACCAACTAAAAAATAAAACTCTTTATATTCACCCCATATATAGTAAAATGTGTAGATAGAAACTAATAAAACATATATAAGATCTGTATGCTGAAAAGTACAAAATACTTACTAAAGAAATAAAAGAGCCCCACAAATTAGTAGACGTATTGAGTTTGTAGATTAGAAAACTCAACAGACTAAAGAAGTCAATTCTTTCCAAACTGATCTATAGATTTAATGCAAATCCAAATAAAATTCCAGCGAGATTTTTTGTAGAGGCTACTTTAAACTGAAATTTATATGAAGGGTCAAGGACCTAGCATGGGGAAAACAAATTTAAATTGTGGCTGAAATGAAGAAAATACTGTATTCTATGTTGAGGTTTAGAATACAGCCACAATAATCAAGACTGTGAGATACTGGTGGAAATACAAACACATAAATCAATGGAACAGAATAAACAACATAGAAATACACCTTGGCAAATAGTTCAACTAATTTCTCATAAAAATATGAAAGTAATTCAACAGGAGGAAGATAGCCTTTAAAAACGTTGCACTGATATAATTAGGAGTACAGAGGCAAAAAATAAACAATGTTGATCAAAATCTTATACAAAAATGAACAAATATGATAAAATTTATCTCACATATATATAAACAGATATATAGATCTCATATTTATATATATACACATAGATGTATGTGTGTGTGTGTATATATATATATATACCTATGTGTATAAATATATATCTTACACACAATATATGATATATGGTGTTATCTCATTGAGGTTTTAAATTGAATTTCATTAATGGATAATGATGCTGAGCAACTTTTCTGTGCATATTTGCCATCTTTATATGTTATTTAGTAAAGAGATTATTCAGTTGTTTTGCCTATTCTTTATTATTATTAATATTATTAATATTGAGTTATGAGATCTCTGTATGTATTGTGGCACAAGCCCTTCATGAGATGCATTGCTTGAAGATATTGTCTCCCAGAATGTGCATTTGTTTTACATCCTTTTAAGAATATATTTTTAAAAGTAAAAGATTTAATGTTCATGTTGACCACTGTATCAAATTTTTATTTTATCAGTTTTACTTCTGGTGTTGAATCTAAGAAATCTTTACACAACCCAAGGTGAAGAATATTTTCTATTAGGTTTTCTTCTGAAATTTTTAGACTTTTAGGTATTGCATTTACATCTGTAATCCATTTTCTGTAAATCTTTGTATGAGTTATTGATCAATGTTCAATGTTTGCATATGTGTATCTAATTAGCTCATCATGATTTCTTAAAAAGTCTTTTCCCCACCAAATGACCTTTTTTTTCTTTTGCTTTGTGGAAAATCCATTTTTCATATATACATGAGTCTATTTCTGGTCTATCATTATCATTTCATTGATGTGCACTCTTTTGATAACTGTAGCTTTAAAATAAAACTGGAATTTAGTGTTTGTCTTAGTGTTTGTATTACAACTTTATTCCTCTTTTTAAAGTTAATTCAGCTACACAAGATCTTTTGTGTTTCTTTATATATTTTAGTTTCAGATTCCCAATTCCTACCAAAAGATAAAACCTGCTTAGATTTTCATTGGGGTTGCATTGAATTTAGAGGTACATTTGGGGAAGTTTGAGATTTTAACAATATTAAATATTCCAGCAAATGAACATAGTTTATCTTTCATTTATTTAGGTCTCCTTTAATGTCTTTCAAAAATGTTTCTTAATTTTTATTGTATAGGCTTTTTATATTTTTTCAGATTTATTTTATGTATTTTAACCATTTTGATGCCTTTGTAACAGGTATTTAAAAATTTTACTTTTAATTTTTATTGGCAGTGTAGAGAAATAAAATTTTTGTATACTGATCTTTCTTTTGCCCCATTGAATTCACTTTTTAGTTTAGACTTTTTTTCCATAGGTTCCAGTAGATTGCTACCTGCACGA